CTCAAAGAATTTCGTCAAGGCAGTTATTCAAGAATATCGGCGACTCGCGTATTTCGCGCCATTGATATTGCAAACGGCCTTAGCGAAGACGCGAACGTGGCTTCTGACAGTTTTTTTCTTTCACAGCCATCAGTGATAATGGAGATGTTATTTTTAAAGATGGAACGCTCTTTCGTATCTATACACGTGAACATGATTTATTATTATTGCACGAGTAGTGTTTTCAGCTTACAATTTTTTTTTTTCTTTTAAAAATTTAATCGTGCTCTTACACAAGTGGCAATTTTGGACTGCACGTGCGAACGAGACGGAGGATTTGCGGTTTCTGAAAGTCAACCAATCATCTTGTACAAACCCATCGGCTAAGAATAGGTCATAGATATTCGTCGATGTCAGCTTTGATAAACAGTGCAAGCAGACTGAATCATTTCTTGAGAATTCGTCACGTAATTCTGTGGGTTTAGGTAAACGGACCAAGAATCTAGAGGGGAGGAAGGAAATTTTTGGCGTGGCTCGCGTCACGTTTTCAACCATGGACAGGTACTTATTCACCCAACTGTGAACTGCGTCACGTGACATTCGAGCATTGACAAAAGAATTCCTGCCAAAATATCTGAATAAAGGAAAATTTACAGCATTCGAAAAAACTTCACGTTCATTTTTAAAATTTAGTTAATTTACATTCAGTGATCCGTATATACAGTCGTAACATAACCTCAAACACGTAACATTCAAAAGTTTTACACTAGTAAAATAAAATGACGCATAGACAAGTGAAACTAAAAATCTTAACGTCAGCCATGCTATTAGTATAAAATATCTGATGCCAAAATTCTGAGCTTATAAAAGAAACCAACTCAGTTCTAGGAGAATATATCGACTGGGCGGATTCAAGGAGGATATGGCGGGCGGGTGTGAATCAACGCGTTATTTTCGAAAATACCTCGAGACGGTCGAAGAGCATACATACCCTGACGTTAAACCAGTCAGGGGTACCAGCGTTGCGAAAGAAAAGAAAAAAGAATTCTTACTCAAGTGACTTTCCATCGAACTTTGAGTAGAGGGGAAAAAAACGAAGAATTGAAAAATGAACGAAAATTGAAAATTCGCAAGTGTAACTAAGCACTCAGTTTGACAATGGGATGCGTCACTTCTTTGTAAACCATCCAAATCGCTGTTCGTGTTTAACAAACTTACGAATATTCAAACTTTGAAAAACGGACCTAGCCCAGTGGCTGATGTCATCCATCAATTTCAGACATATTCTTTTGTCTCGATAAAAAAGAAACATACCAGAGACAGTAAGCGGCTGTGATAGCATATTAAATTTAGGATTCGCCGTTTGTATGTATTCTTATAATTTCTCTAGGTTGGCTATACTGACTCTGACAAAGGGACGACCTCTCACCTCTCGCCTGGTAGTCTTGGTGGTTGTCCTGGTAGTTTTTCGCGTGGTCTTTGACGCCAGGTTCTCATGGGGTGAGTCCCAGTCCTGGAAGACTTCAGTAGTCGCCATCGCTATCCTTTTTTGGGTCTCTTGCTGATGATGTCCTCTTTAAAGTTTTGACGTTCGCGGGCAGATACGCCGTCCACTTCGTTGCTTTTCGTACTCTTAAAGGTCACATGGAAGTTCTCAACTGGACGATGAACTTTAACCCTGCACCGGTACTGCACGCATCTCGCTTCTTTCCCAAGAAGCCACGTTAATTTTGACCGAATGATCACTATTTATTTCCCTCTCTTTCTCCCTCGCTCTGAAATTCTCGTTGCACAATCACCTTGATTGTACCTTTGCAGGGTTAATACCATTGACCTATGCCAGGACTTGTGCATGACTCCATGACGCTTAAAGAGTTCAAAAAATATATAGCCAGATAAGGGATACAAAATTGTATAAAATAAATATTTTATTTAAGTCAATCTGAGACCCTTCATTACTACACAGCAATACTATTCGTTAAATGAAGTGACTGAACAATCCCAAGCGTCCCCAAGTCCAAGTGGATACAGTGAAAACTGTCAGGTACAAGTGGCTGGCATAGAATGTTTGAATTACCAAATACAAATAGTCGACTTTGCACAGTTATCACAGGATGCTGTTTCAATCACAGTTGTTTTCTCACGAATGCCGCGTTATCGCGATAATCCCGCGTGGTTACCGTTATTCGAGAACTGGGATCGTGGTCCCAGCTATTCCAAAAAATATCCCACGTCCCGTAGCCCCGTGTGCGTGGAGTGCGAGGTGGGCCTCGCGCGACTGAGGTGGCAAGAAGACATCGCAGCCGAAGCGGGCCGGCGCCCCGTCAGTCCAATTCCAGAAATACGGAGAAATAAATATAATTAGGATAGGGATGGGGATGAGCAGGAGAGTTCAGCTCGTACGTTCCACCAGTCCTATGCTAGAATACACCTAGAGAGACACCTATAGTATTTTGAGTCGGACGTTTTTTTTTTTAAATTTGATTTTTATCATTGATCTTTAATACTTTTTACACAAAATTCTTCTCGAAAAAATCTTTGTCAGCTCCATCCACAAAATGGTGGCTCTTTACGAGACTAACTTTAGACGCGTCTCTCATTGATGTCTCGTTTAATTAGGGAACGGCCGACGGTTATCGATGAGTTTGGACGACGCGTGCGGCGTTGATGGTCGCATGCATTAGCTGGAGCGACGTCGAGAACTGGCTGAGTTTACAAATCGAGGAATCAGATCCAAGAGATCCGGGCTGTTCATAGTGGCTTATATACGTCATACTCAATAGGATTGCTAGAACGAGCATTCTCTATTTCAAGAAGGGACGCTCCTTAGAAATCCCAGAGAGATACAAGAGACATGCTCGAGCTGTAAGATATTTTCGAAAACATTGACAAAAAAAAATTGCAAATTTTATCGCGTAAACCGACAAACCCAGCGAAACACGTAAGCGGACCCACGTTTCCTCGATACCCTCAGACTATTTATCGCAGTGGATTTAAATAAAATGCCTTTGTTCCGATCGTAAATGTCCACGTTGAATCAGTCGTTCGTTTCTCGAATAACTTTTCGTAAAGAGTGCCAGAGATTTTCTAGAGACAACCCCAACAATTTTCAATACACTAATCCGTATATCATATCCCGTGACAGATACAGTCACCCATACCGTCGATGGTCCTTGTAAGCGTAAATCAAGAAAATCAGTCAGTAGATCAATGACGTCACGGATATTAGAAAAAACACAATGTTATGTTTTATCGAACGTCCAGCCACGATACAAAAATAGTTAATTTTTTTCCGGCGCTTGGTGTTTCCGTTCCTAATGACTTGGGACTTCTATATCTTTCATCGGTCCTGTCGACACCTTCAAGTCTAGCGAGACCAGCGACTCGCGACATATGTATGTAAATCTTTAGCTCGTACCCTATACCTACCATCAGTAAAAATTGCGTAATATTTGGAATAAACCACGTTACTCCGATGCTGGCCTAGTGTAGAACTTTTTTAAAAATATATATCCGCAACTGGGACGACTCTCTTAATATGGATCACCGTATGCGTTATTTTCCTAGCCGATCGGCACTTCTCCCGATTCGCCATTACCCAAGCTCAAAATAAAACGCTCACGCGCCTTCGGCAGCCTCTGCTCCTCTGTCGAAGTACCTGAAATAAAGCGAAGACGTTCTTGCTCATTTTACATCTCGCGGACTAGCTGCTCGTCTCTTCGAAGCTTTGACTTTCGCTTTAACGTAATTCTCGTTGCGAACGGAGCTTACAGCTTTCTACTAGAATATACAAGTAAACTGTTTACAGACTGAGCGAGTCTGCGGTCGACCGTATGTGCACACGGGTGTGCACGCGTCTTCAAGTAGAAGTAGAACACTAATAATCAGCGTGATAAGTGTTCCCCGAAATAGAAAAGCTCCCTTGCAACGTGGACGAAACAAGAAGGCATGGAAGTTCAGTAATTATAATCTATGGTAGCGTTAATGTCACTACCATGTAATATATGGTACGGTCCATGACTGTGACTACGGAACAAATAAAATTTCCAAATCGACTATGCAGACATCTGCTTAAACCGGTTTGACTTTTTGTGTTGTTTTCGTGTGGCCGGGTGCGCTTTCCGTCCACGATAAAGTACCATGCCGATGAATGCAATAATTGTAAGGAAGTTCCAGCGTGGGTATTGCCGCCAGGGCATGTTTACTGTATATCCAGGTACACAAATCGGCTTAGAAATGCCGGTACTGGTATTACTGAGGATATTGACACATTGAAGGCGGGAGTCGTAGTACTACGATTTATCTCGACTGTAGCTTAAAGGCGGGAGTTTAGTGTTTAGTACTTTTTTAATATTTCTTGTAGTTTTTAAAGTTTAAATAAACTTTTTTAGGTCTAACTTTTTTTATGATTACACAAAATATCGCACGCTCTAGGACGAAAAACGGGGCGGTCGCCGCGTTACCTAGCATACTTTCGTCAAGATCCCCCGCCTTTAATGTGTTAATGCGACTTTCGATGAGATTTCTGACTGTTTCGCTCCTTTCTGCGCTTGCGCATTGGGTTCTAAACGTATGGAACGTATAAAGTATTTCACCATATTTGGACTACTGTACCTGGCAAAATATCGAAAATAGGTTGGGTTATGTTCCATCTGTCAAAATTTGACATTTCGAACCGACTATTGTAGTTACTCCCAGTTAGTGACGTGAATAAGTGATACGAGCTAATATATCGGTTTCAAAATTCGCTTTTTGTATTTGACAGTCAACTCGTCAAGAAAAATTCGAGATAAATATTCGTTATCACATTCTTGACTGGCACAGCTTCTGTGCACGCGACCGAGTCTCAACATTTTTCTATTCGAAACCGGAAGTTCGTTTGATGATGCCATTTGAAAGCTATTAGAAGTCCGGGATACGAGTGAGAATCTCGAGTCTCGACATTTCAATACAATAGAATCGAGACTTCGACTCGCTGTTAAATTCGAGAATTAGAAGAAAATATGGCTTTATTCGTGGCATTTAATTTTCTTTTTTCATTCTCTGTCAAATTTGATAAGTGAATCTCAAAACCGGTATATCTTTAGCTCGGATCGTTTGCCCCAATAACTAATGGAGAATTAAACGAAAATACATGCTTTGTCATACCTATAGGTTCTTCTGTGACAAAACTGTCGGCTCGTAAAAGCTCAGGAAATGCATGCTTTTTTCACGACGCTCCGTTAAGCCCAGCGTCACTCACGAAAACAATGGGACGTACACTGGCTATTTACGTCGTGACGGGAATGACAAATAAATGCAGCGACCATTGAATCGACATGCTATTCGTATTATGGTTAATCCCTCCGTTCTATTTTAGAAATACGGAAAAGCCCCGGTATTACGGATATTCAGACGCAAATAAATATTTCACGCTGTGACCCTCCACCAGAGTAAACGATCTGCGCTGCAGCTCGATGCATAAATACGGAATGAGCCATGAGGACAGTGTCAATTACGCCGAGATACGGCAATTAACTAGTCCTCGGCGGGCTTCTAATTTCCAATTAGCGTAATTGAAACCCACTTTGTTAGTCCGAGCAGGGATCCAACGTGCCTAATATAATAAGCTAGCAAATAGCTCAAAACGACGTTTGCACATGCATGAATCGATGCTTTTAAAAAAATTGAAGAAATAAACATTACCGTGTAGAAATCTTGGAACAGATTGTTCAAGTAAAAAATTTAAATCAAGCTATCTGGGTAAACGTTACTATTTTTGTTAATCCTAAGTATAAATGTAGGCATGATAAAGGTACTTGGGTAATTTTGAGCTTCGTTATGCAATTTGCAGTTTATAAATTCATTCTAAATTTTGCGTCCTTGGTTTTCGTCTCATGAACGTCATCGTGACGAACTACGTGCGAGCTACTCGTGGCGTCACAGCTAAACGTCGTCACGTGGTGGCCTTAGGTACGTGTACCTATCTACAGCTGCAAGCTGCAGCCAAGTGGCGAACAATTTTATTCGTGCTAGTAACTTTCGCTTAACGACTCATTTGCTGCGGATCGGCCGCGGCCAGTATTAGTAACCCTGCACTGATGATAGTAGCGCGTTGCAAACAACCTTGCGAACAATGTATCGTACAGGCTGTAAATCGCGAAGTTCATCGCCTTGCTAATTATACCATGTTGACAAGTATTCATATGCTGCACTGACAGCTATGCCTGATACAGATATTACTATAAGATCACAAAGTTGCATTATAATCGAACGTAGTAAGAAGCAGAGTTATATAATAATGTATAATAAAATTATTAGACGGGGTATCTAAAAAATATTACGTAGAATAAGGCAAGAATATTCATGGTAAATTTATATAAGTTTAATTAAAAATTTTTATTTACTTTTACCATTTTGTGTGGCAGGTACTTCGGATCGTTTGCGATTTTGCACAATTCTCCAGCCTACCTTACCGACCGCTTAGTAGAAATTTCATTATGACAATCGAGGACCAGTCGAGGCCTGAGCTAGTCCTGAACTGGCCCAGGTGGGACCTGGACAAGCCCTGGACTTGCCTAAGCACATTTCTGCCAGAGGATGATATACCGGCCTTGTGGAGCCCGTGAATGCGTAAAGTCAAACGAAACTGAAGATACGGAATCCGCGTGCGAAAAGTGTCCACAGAATTTCTCTAACTTAGCCACGTATCGTCTAGGAAGTGTGTTTGTTTGCGAACGCAGAAATAATATTTGGCACAGCGAGCCTTCCGTTTATATAAGAGTTTGCAGATAACCGCGCTCTTCCCTTGTTGCTGTAAAATCCTCAAATTTCTGCTTCGTCCTTTTCCCTTTCTTACGGCTCGCCATTAATTTTCACGCCTACGAAAAAGCCTTGCGAAATTCAATTGCTGACGGCGCTTTCAGCAGTTCACGTCTCGATTGTGTCTTGAGAAAATCGCGCAATCAGGTCTACGTCTGTTTTCGTGACAATTATGGGCGTGAGATGATGGAGTAAATAATGGAGGAGGAGGATGATGCTGATGACGATTACTATGACGAAGAATTGTACGATCCAGGAAAAATACGATCAAGTTTGCCGCTGGCTAACACTTCCGTCATTCTATTCACGGATACACAGATTCGATAGTGGCTACAGAGACATCGTGAATTCTCAAAAGTCCCCGGGAGTTGCTTGGGTCTTAGCGGACAACGTGGCCTGGCAGGTGCGACGAGACGGAACCAGAAGACGTCGTATCGTCAACCAGCCGGGGCGAGCAGTCGAGGTTCTGGAGACGCATGATTTAACGTTCTCTTCCCAGAAGTGATTTACTGTGGGCAAATAGAAGCATCCCCGTCGCAGCCAAAACCCCCACGATTCAGCATCTCTACGGTTATATAGAATGATAAAAGGGGATGCTGGCTCTGATGCTTCGCGACAGATTTATCGCCTTTGTTTACCAAAAGATGGGGTCACGCTTCATCCCTGATGATTTGCTGTGTCTTAATGTGAAGATTCATGACTATTCGTAGCAAGCTTCTAGACGAGCAACGGCCCGTTTACATGCACCAAGAAGGTAAAGTTACAAGGGATACCATATAATTATCTTTGAATGATCAACAATTACAAGGTAAGAGTATAACCGGCGTTTATTCGTCGTTATTGATAGTTGTAATATGCATTATATATCCTAGTAGACGACGATGTAGACGTTGGATCATTTACAAAGAACAGTTCCTTATGTTTATAGTAGGTGGCAGCACTAGGTGGCGTAGTTTCCTACAAACTGGCCGAGTGTGAAGCTCGTCGAGTCTAGAGTTCGCTAGCGCATCCGACAGATGGGGCACGAAAGATTCTCGCATTCTGCCAATCGTGAACGTAATATTTTACCCAACAATAATTGTACTTTCCATCATTAATATTTTTAATTTTAAAAACTCCCTCATCTTACAGCACCCTGGCATCTTGGCATCCATGTACGTACATAAATACATATGTTCCATTTTTAAGGGTCATCGCCTTGCAACTTACCATATAAAAAAATCCCCAGAATATTACACTCACTGTATATCCAATGACCGTAATATGTTCAGAGGAGAAGTGAACGACACGATGATTTCGGAATCGTTAACACCGCAACAAAAGTTATATATATCAAAGCTTTACGATCAGCCGACCGGTAATAAAATTTCTATCAATACGAACAGCGTGAAAAGCGTTTATAGGCGAGATATCACATTTGCGAAGGTCTTGTTGCCCCTAACCAGTAGTCCAGCTCTATAAGTTCCAAAGTGTATGATAATAAATTGCATGCCGAGAGTCACGAGTCTCCGAATGCTGCGTTGTTATTTTCGTAAAGTCTAACTCTCATGATCAATAGGTATTTTCGAAGGACACGTGGTAATGCCAATCTGCACTGCTGCCTAAGTAGACATCCGGTGAGGAATCAGCAAGCAGCTATAATATTCCAGAAAGCCCGAGATATTTTTCACAAGATAAATGGGAACGAGTGGAAGAAGTCTCACGTAATTTTTCCACAATTTTTCGAAAAAGCTTACTTTACCTCTATCGAGACCGGCGTGTTAAGTGAATTGGTAATTAAAAAATCCGAAAAGTACATAAATTGCATGACATTTACGTTCTAAACAATTCGCCATTGCTTTAGTGAAATATTGGCTGTCCGTGTAAGCGTTTATTTTTTACACGTTATTACTTGTCAGTATCTTACGCTGGCAGCTGTGTAACATAAGCTCCCGCTGCTAAGTAATAAATGAAAGCTTCGTCTTAGGCGTTAAATTGAATTACCGATCAAATTTAGTAGCAAATAAATTAAACGTATACTATTACCAGTATTCTGCCATCTAGGTACGATATACTTAACCAACAGCTTACTGCTTCCGGAATGTTAAATATTGAACGAGCTTTGCCAGATGCTTCGAGCATCATTCTATTTAATTCTTCTGCCAGTTATCAAAGACAGACTATAGCAACTTACATCAGTCGTGTTCAAGGAACCCACTGTACGAAGCGTAAGCTCGGAAGCTTTGTATCTTGAAAAATATATTTACTAATCAGGGATACTTGAGGTGTCAATGTGTTTATGCAACGTAGACGTTGAATCAAATCCCAATACATATAACGTCGCATCCATTTTTTTAAATTGAACAAGCTCATTCTACATTTTGAAATAACCCTTCTACACTCAGTTCGTATTCCTGGAGCATCGTCGGATTAATTAAATGATCTCGCAGCTGATTAAAAGTCTTTCTACAATGTTTACCGACAAGTCGTTGAAAAAAAATCATTCAACGTTAAAACCATCGGCGAAACTATAACACTCGTGTTTATCGTCTAGGGTGGAGAAGGTGTTGCCCAACATTGCACGGAAGCCGTGCATCACCAGCTGCGTTCTTCATTTCACTCATCTTCACTATACCTCTCTATCCACTTCCCCAACGTGGGCGGATGCACCGTCATGGATAAAACTCAAAACTTTCCACGAATGCTGCAACCGTACGAAAAAAACTTCTAGCCACTTGGTATTTTTACTTCTCGTGAGATCAGCAGCTTCAGTCAGGCTTTCTTTTTACGACTAGACTTGCTCATGGTATTAAATATTTTTTTCATTTTTTCAAACACACACACTAAAGTGTATAGTGGGTCTCGGACTCAGACCTTCCCCAACGGACCTTCGATTTTCTGAGGTTGCCCAATCGGTTCCACGTGCTCGTATTCATGCACAGTTAATAATATATGAAGCTTGGATGCAGGAACGTTTACATGGGCGTTCCGACAAAGTGTTCAGCGCGACGTATGGAAACGAACGTCGACGCCGACGTTGTCCACCACCGGTAACAAGAATATTGCCCCAGAGATGCTTCTCGCTCGAATACATGTAACAGGGCGTAACCTGGCTACCCTCCCCGACGTCTGACGTCTTCGCGAGTCCGGGAGCTTTTACGAATCTCAAATAAGCGTGAGTATGTTTTGCAAGAGGACCATTCAGCCTCGGGATTATGACGCATTTCTATCAATGAGAATTATTACTAGATCCACGTCGCATTTCTGAATTTCCACTCTACGTCATCATGCACGACTAGCTGGGCTTGGGCCGTGATTGGCGTAAAGCTCAGGCTGACGATTACAAGGTTTAGTGAATGAACAGTCACGAGGTCCACGTGTCCGGCAAAGACAGCCTTTGTGTATTTAGCTGTTGTGTCACGAGAAGGTTACAAAAAGGATTTCAAAAGTCAAAGCACCCGCGTAGACGTCTCGGACACTTCTAGAGCAACCAGGAAGAGCCGGACACTCGTTATATTAAAAATATGTACAGCCAGACTCGAAATGGCGTGAGGCTTTTATTTTAAGCAACCTCACGCTGTTTTCTACCGGGCAATGAGAGCAGTCGTCTTTGCCATTGACATAGACACGTGCTTAATAGCTTACCAAGAGGTGGACGAACCCCCTTTCTTACAAAACGCTCTGATATAATCGACCGTGTGGCCTTCGCGATATTTTCAAGATTAAGAGGAAAAAAGATTGACAAATTTCTCGTTAATCAGAACTGTCCCAGTGCCGTCACCAAACACATTTTCAACCCGAATTCTTGGGCGCTTTGTCATACCTCGTTGACCTGTCATTGGTTACGGAGACGCAGCGGCTGCCAAGGAAATTCCACGAGATATTTCGACGCTTTTGTTCTTTCCTCGAGAATTCTCCGTTTAAGGGTATGGAAAGAGCAGGACAATATTTTGAAAAATAAATCTTTCGTTAAACTCATTTGCATTATCGGTATAGGTAGTGTTTTAACGTACTGCTCGTACAATTGAAATTACTCTTCGATCGGATTATACCGATTCGATCGAACGCAATTCAAAAAGTGGACGCGGTTACCACCCACAGCTATAACCGTCCACGTAGGTGGGAAGCGACCTACATTTAAATATCCAGTAGAAATAGAATTACGTACTTTCCTTTAAATTGTATATTGTTGATAAGAGCTTTCATGCTATACTACGTGTGACGTAATATAGCAAGGCTACAGTATATAAACATTGTATGCATATCAGAAGTACTTTCTTGTCTTAAAACGAAGTTTGGCTGCACATCGGAATTAGACTAGAAGGATAATGCCGCGGGTCAAGCCAAGAAGACTTCGATAAACGGGACAGCTGTAGGCTATTTGTTACTTCAGTTATATCGGCCGCCCATCCGCTATTAATGCTGACGCAGGACGAAAACATAGCAGCGCCAGTATAAAGTATGAATTTCTCGTTATTATCAGTAATCCTTCGATCTGTAATCAAATCACGTGAAGTTTGACTCAATGCAAATTCTCGTTATCAAAATATTCGATTTAATGACAATCTGTGCCATTGCATCGTATGAGTCAGTTGATCACTGGTGGCGGTTAATGACTGGTTGTCGAACCTAGTTCCACTATTTATAAACCCTTGTTCACCAAAAAACGATATGTTTAACAAATAAAGGAAACGCTGCTTTACGACGCCACGTGTCTGCCGGGTCAGAACGGTCATCGATCCACGTGTCATTCCGCGGGACCTGTATAGGTCATTCGAAAGCTTTCATTCTGGGAAGCTTTCACCAGGAAAAACTTTCTCCCACTAATTTCTAAAGGATAAATATACACGTAATCGACGACTTGCCACGATCTTTAAGCGAACTTCACTTTTCTTCCGTGGCTACTTTTTCTCGACGATGTCTCTTCTCCTTTTGGCATCCGGTACAACGAGTTTTCTCTTTGAGCTACTAAGCGCCACTGTGCTTCCTTGTTCAGGGCGCACAAGTATGACCCGATATTTTTCACGTTCTGCAGTCGATGTAACGAAGCTCAACTATTTTGGGTGAGGCGTCCGTTGCCACAGCGAAGCGGCGCCGTCACTTATGTCTAATTGAGACGCCGTAGGCATCGACCAGGAACTCAAACGGAAACCCGAAGAGGCTCATTACGAGTAAAGACTGTACGGTGGAAACTGAAACAGCCTCTCTTGTGTTAACGAAGCGATCAACGATCTTAAAGTGCCGCTGTGAACGCGGTAAACGATGCGACGCAGTCGGTCTCTGCTGTTCGGTACTAGAAATTTTTGTATTTTTGGCCAACACTTCCTGAATGACTTCATGGAAATCATAGATAAAGTGGATGGCCCAGTAATCGTCATATGTGTTATGATACTGTAGATTGTGCTACAGTCAAAGCACACGCTGACGATTACTTGTTAAATGGCCGACAGTTGGGCCGTTCACCCTACGCCTAAATCTACAGTGAATCTACTACTGCGTGTATATACAAATTTTTAAACAATTATTTTCACAGCACTAAAAATACCAAAGGATGTCGTTTCGTTAATGGTTTTGCGTAATCAGAATTGACACGCCGATAAGATTTTTAAGTTCAATCACACCGCTGTATTCATAATTCGTGAATGCTTGTTCGAGTTTCTTAAATTTTTTTTAACTATTTTTTTATTTTAAGTAAACGAACCAAGTAGGGTTTGAACAATTTCTCATGTTGATTAATGAATGATAAATAGGCACGTCTTTTTTAAATCTTTTTGAACTGACCGACTGTGTGTGATAAATGTGAAAATGACGATGAGGAAATTGCAATGATTTATTAAAAAAAAAAATTTTAAATCAAGAATCCACTAAATTTCAATGGGCTATGGTACTCTTAGCTCCGCGGCGAAATGCTCTTACTTTATCCTTGATACGAAACAATCGTAAGTTTCCCGGATGGCTTTTGGCTCGCCACGCTTGTCTCTTCCGTTGCATCACATTATTTCACGCCGTTAATAGGCTTTGTGCATGATAACTTCTGAACGTTTCTCTTTGACGCTACTCGACACGCCACGGGCCGCCAGTCTCGCCGCTTGCAAACTTCATCCTCGCTTCACGTTTAAACGTGGAAGACGATGTAGCGTCGGTCTAATAGACACTTGTATTATATTCTCACGATGACGTCTCTCTTAGAATGCACAATGGGGACAATGTTGCTGAACTTCAAATCAAGAAGCCATACCTACGTATTCATATATGTATACCCAACTTGGAAAGTTTGACTCTCTCGTTATCAATACGATTCCGTGCTAAAACGAACGAGCAAACTTTTAAAGAAATTCTTTATTTCTCTTTTTCTAAAAATAATAGTACCGCATTCTCAAACGGGCACGACCCTCCTCACTTATGCGATCGGTTATCTTTTAAGACTCGGTTGCCATTTAGTAAAATTGATATTAAGAGATTTTTAGAAATTTACGCTTCTATCCAAAAATCGAGGTCCCTCGGGGTGGAGTTCTCGCGGCAATTCATTCTAAACAGTTTTTTGATCTTCGAGTAGAATGGCTGACAGAAATGACGTCAGAGGCTCGTCAGAGAGACGACGAGCGTGCGTATACGTTAACGTATAGTCGACACGACACGACTTCCGACGTGTTCGTGAGGAACGTATAAATATCGCAGCCTAGGGATCCAGGGGAAAACTCGTATAGTTATTTATTTTGAAAACTAAAAAAACGTATTGTAGCTTTAATGCTTGAATTATTATATCGTTGCAAAATTCAATATTTAGTAGTGATTAATATTAAAATCATTGAAATTGGTATAATTTTAAAGAAATAGAAAATGAAAATAGCTAATACCATTATACGTGTATTTTCGTATACTATTGTACGTATCATACTATCAATATTCAGAGCTTAAAGTCTAGCTACAGCTTTCGGCGGTCTAAGCATTTCCGTTTAAGTGACACGGAAACACGGCTTGTCACAATAATCAAAACAAGGATGAAATCGAGGTTTTGGCGGGACAAATATATTTTTAGAGATCAAAGTTACGCCTGAATAAATATTAGCCGGGTCGCTCTCTTTCTTTCCGGTCTTTTAATGCAGTTATCACGGTATACGAAGTTTCCCACGTTTCGACAATTCTACTGGTGACATCGGCAATAAACGTCATTCTACTTCCCTAATAAGCCATAAAGCTGAAAATCGATTAACGAGTATGAAACGTGTGCTGCAGGCAGTTTGTCACATCAATTAGCCAAGTGCTTGAGAAACCCGATAAATTACTTGGACGTTTTCGCAGCTCCCAAATTTCGCCGATAAATTAAAGCTCGTTCTCCGGACGTCAAATTAATCGTCATAATTTTGAGTTACTTCCCGCAGGGATGCCGTAACGATACCAGAGCTCGCCCATGAATTCCTGACCACGTGGATGCTGCGAAGACAATATTATATTTTTCATAAGAGTTTTGTCTTTCTATCAATGAAAAATTGCACCCTGTAACGATTCATCGTTAATCTTGTTGCCGGTAAAGAGAAAAAAAAAATTATACAAAATTGTAAAAAATTATTCACGACATCGGCAAGCAGCCATTTGCGGATTCGTAAATCTCGGTAAACGAGGACTCGTTTGTTTTCGGGGTACAAAGGCGATAAGTTACGGAATTAGAAGCGGATCCAACCTGTGAATACGGGGCGCCTGGCGTCCCACATTTTTGTTTCCTTCTCTTTATATTTAAAAAGCCAATACGAGCGGAAGATCGCAGTCGGGAAGTTTCGCGCGATGAAAATCAGCCATTAGCTATTGCGAAGTGAAACTTTCCGCTTTGGGCAGCGACCAGCTGGTGCGAATAACGTCAGATTTACCGGGCGAGGAATGGATGGACGTCTGTCCCAGGACGGTGGCGTCGCGACGTCGCGGGGGAGTCACTGGCGTCGGATACCAGGGACTTTCTTGAAAGCCGTTACGAAATTATTATCGGCGACGAATATTTTCGGAACGAACAATCGGCGACCTTGAACCCGCACGCGTGTCCATAGGGCCATAGCGAATCGTATGGTCAGGAAGGTTCGTAACGAAAGAATTTGATTTTGCTTCGGGCGCCGGGCAATCGCCAGGAGAATCGAGTAGTTGTGACAATTTGGTAAGATTGGAAAAAACGAAAATTATTGACAACGATAGCAGTACCGGATTGAAACTTTATAAGATTTTCATGAAAGTCCACATAATATACGCGACAGCCTTGAAGTAACGTTCTTGTGTTTCTCGTGCGACGCGGGACTGACAAAAAAATAGTCTATCGAAAAATTTGAGGCTGCCGCTAATGCGATTACAAAACAGACGTCGATGTGTATTTCTAGCGTGTTAGCGACCACTGCCACGGAAAACTGCGAAACCAGAGGTTCCTCGCGTTGCACAAATACACACGAGTGCCGAAGGGAACACATTTGGTTCTTCGTTGACATTTGGGAGACCCACATATTTAAAATTCTAATTTTACATAGTATTGGCTCTGATAAACTATGAATATTGATATAAACATATAACAAGAATAAAATCGACTATTGAGCTTCAATCTTTTAGTTTCTTAGTAAGTAAAAAAAAAAATATTATTTCGTTGTCAAATCTTGGTGGCACTATGCAGGATACTAAATTTCTAAAAAAAAAAGTATCCTAAATCTTCTAAGAACGAACGCTAATAATTGAACTAGAGCGCGAAAACACAGCTGTCGCATGAGAACCGACTGATTCGCCGTTTCCCAAAAATTGCAAAACTCTTGGCTTGGCCTTGCGCGAATACAATCTGCCCAGTCGAAGTGTCTAGTCTGATTAAAATAAATCGATATAAAGGAGCGTAGAGTTCGTCGGAATGGTGAGCACGCGTGAGAATGTGAAAAAGAAAATGTCGCTGGATTGAAAACCAAGTGAACAGAGACGAATCTTGTTACCCTTGCCAAAATATAGACTCGTGTTTATCCAGTGTGAAGACAGCATCCGACTCTCAGACACAATGGCGCGCGTGATCAATATAAAAGCCGATAATTCATCGGTCCAAGAAATTTGTAGACTGTCGTAGAAAGATCCGTAAAACATGTTCAGGACGCTTCTGCTCTTGAGAGGATCCGAAATAATCTGAGCAACGTTCTTTCGACGGCTTCTTGCGCTGCTACTATACACATCCACGCGTAAATTCGCAGCCAGCTGTTTGATTAAAAAATGTTCTATGCACGAGGAGAAATAAATTTAAAAAGTTGATCTGGCCAAAAAAGATGTCTGAGAATAACGCATTAAGACAAAAAAAAATTCTGAGGACAGTTTCACGTGAGAATACAGTGCTCACGTGGAAGAGCAAATTTATATGTGAAACATGTGAAACTTATGGCTTTTGGTACGAGAAATAATGTTTTAAGCCTATTCTTTATATTTTCAAGTTTGCCAAATGACGTCGTGCGAAATTCATTCTAAAGGCGCGTCGAAGAACGATCAATGCGCCTGACAACACAGCTTTGCGTCCCAATGATGATTCTTGACTATCCGGCCGGATTTACGTAGCGCGTTTCCATACGTGAAAAGAGATCGTTGCCAAATCTAAAATCGTCTTTGACAGTGACGTAAAATCTAGTGGAAAATGATCAGCACGTATTCCCATTACTTTGACACAACATAATGTCTCGACGCAACTGCTCATACCTCCTTCACGCATCTTGTGCTCTCAAGAATGATCTCTATTGCCAATTACCTATTTGGAAGTTTGGCAACGACGATTATTAAGCTTTGTACTTATTTGTGAACTTGTTACCAGAGTGTTTTATGGTAAGATATAACTTTTCTTTTTTTTTTTTTTACAAAACATATCACCACTAATGGCTAACTCACTGGAGAAAAAAAAAAGTGGTCTTGATATACCATATCCTGTTCGGTGTTTATCGTCAACCCTGCTCGAGGTGATTCATCCGTAATGTAAACCTGTTTGAAAAGGAACATCCGACGCGTGCTTTTCGATCGGTGCTTAGCTTTCCTATAGTTACAAGTAATTATCAACACACTAGGAAGGTATCGACAGCCGCCTCCTTAAGGTCGTGTCCTCTTCGTGGAAAACTAAAATTCTTCGATAACATCATTAACGTCAAATCTTTACGATGGCTTCTACGAAAACGTCCGGTCGTCTCTGTTCTATCTCAAATAGGCATGTTGGATATTCTTGCAATGCGCCACGTGTTTTGCCGCATTGCGCGAGGAGCGGCGTCTCTCTGTCTTACATAACGTCATTGTGCAATTTACGTAAAATTTATAACATTTCATTGCAACCGTAAATAAACATACAAATCTCAGTCGCAAGGTGCCTTAAGCAAGTACGATCGTCCTGAATAACCCACGAACGGATATAATCTGGCCAAGTACTTCCAGCCAGTGGAGATCATTTTCTCTTCTACCGAATGATTCCCTGCAAGACTTTTCCTAGGCTCTTCCTTAACCGTTCCGAGGATCCCGAATGGCGCGCCACAACCGATTCCAACAATAAACCTAGAGTATGTCCAGGGAGTCATAAAGTGTATCCAATAGATACCGGATGTAACGCGCCACCAGACGTCTCAAGCTCTCACCCTAGCATGCGAAATCTCTGAACTTACTTCCTGGATCTTGTAACTGGTCCGTACGGTTTTGCGTCTTGTGGTGGTAACCTCATAGCTCTCCTCGACTGTAGGTCCATCCTCTTCGGTAACCTCGACGGTCGGCGCGGATGTTGTCGTCGTGGACGACATGGGAGTCAGAGCATCCATCACTTCCATCTTCGGTGCGTTATTTTCCGTGTCAGCCTCCAGACTCGTTAAGTTTCTTCGACGGGGCTGTTAACCGTATCCACGATAGCCGATCCTCTTGATTAAAATATTTCTCTCTATTTCTGTTTATCTTAACGATTCCTCCTCCTCGGCCTACTATTATCGCGAAACTACGATCGCCGCGTGCACCAGTCGTCTTGCTGACTGAACGACTTGAATCTTCCGTACTATTCCGGGATCGTCTGCGCGGAGCGACGAGACTGGCTGAACTAAAGCTAAGAGCCGCCAACCGGCCTTCCGAAACACGTCGGTACACTTCGAAAATAGAACTCAAGTTTTCCCTTAACTCGGCTCCTCCGGTCGTGTGCGCGTTGCCACGGTTTACCCCGGGAGTCACGGAGTTACTTAGGCGCGTATTAAGCGTCCCCTGCTAGGTAGGAGCAGCTCGTCTTCTGAGGCCGGTTTCCTTTTGCGCACTTCCTTAAAGTCCATTCGGCTGTTAGGTTGCTGAGAAATTTCCACAGTCCTGCGTGTGGTTTCCAATGCGTAACAGTATGAGACTTCAGGTTTCTCTTATTTCGAATGGAGTGGTATTCGTACGGTGCCTTCTGACAGAATTCCATTATAATTTTTCATTGGTGCTACAATCATTTATTCTTAATGACACTATTAGCTTAAGCACTCCTAAGCAATTAGTAAGCAATTAGAAAAATATAACATTTAACAAAGTATACAAGCGCACTGGATTCCTTATCAAAACCAAGTACTTCGTTACTGTACACAGAGGTATTTAATATACAGTTGAATCGTTTACTATTTCATTTTAGAATTTATACCTCTGTACACATTCCTTGTTTCATTCTTTACTCTCGTTGATACGTTTTACAGATGAGAAATTATTACTACATTTGAGTGTATGTACGAATATTGGTTGAAATACGTATCCGCTATTGATATATCCTTGATAGTTTGTACTTCTGTTTTGCATACATTCACTCAATTGATGTAAGAAATTCTAGTTTCGAAGATCTCTTGCGAGAATTTTCATGAATTTTCATTCAATGATGGAAACGCGAAAACAACACTATCTTGGCGATTCCCGGGCTGAGCAACAATTATCGCTTCTAAGGTTAAACAATTGTTACGTAATAAGGCGTCTTCGCTTAGAATCGTAAAATGCGCTGGCAAGAATCACGATAAAAATTGTATAAGGCATTACAGGGTATTTTTTTATATAAATTAAAAGTTTACGATCCGATATCATTTGACCAACTCTGTAATAAAATCGACATCATTTTATAAGGCATAAAGCCAGATGTAGAAGTGTCAAACGTTCATTTGTGCGATGCGTACTATTATGATTTAGTTCGATTTTAATAGTGTTGTTAGAGCGAGTTTCGCGATGCTGACAAGAACGGTCTTTAAGATAATACGGTACAGTACAGAAATGCAACATATTTCACCACCGCACTAAAAGACGGAATCCAAATATGAATACAATAATATACGAATTGCAGAATCTGATTTGAAAATCGTAATACTGAAATTAACGTTACGTCTTGCATAAAGATAGTTACAAAGGTACTTGGAATAATTATAAAATCATGGAACAGTTTTAGAAAAACGTAATTAACATCGCGAAGACCACCGATAAATAGTAGTAGCGACCATTACGACACTACACTAAAGTAAAGGAATAGATATTTGAAAATGCATCTGCAATTTGAATTTCAGTCTTAAACTTATTTGGCACTGGAATTTTCGGAAAGATCTCTATTTTTCGCGTCTTTCGAATTGTCTTCTATATTAAATTTCGACAAATCGCCTGGTTTATAAACCCCAACCTCCGTAATTATACCCGTAATAAGACTAGCCGGTGTCACGTCGAAGGCTGGATTCCAACATTGGATTCCGGTCGCAGCTATTCGTTGGTCGTTGATGTGGGTCATCTCTCTATCAGGTCTCTCCTCAATAGTGATGCGATCACCGCTCGGAATAGTGAAATCGATGGATGTTCTAGGAGCGGCGACATAGAAAGGGACACCGTGATATTTTGCAATGACTGCAATCTATATAATGTACAAAATTGTATTTAATATCAGAAAATTTCGAAGTTTATACGTCAAAAGTTAGCCATAATAGCTGTGCTAGATATGTATTTGTAATTTTACCTGATACGTTCCAATTTTGTTGGCAGTGTCACCATTGGCAACTACTCTATCAGCTCCAACAATGATGGCTGAAATGTTTCGTGTTTTAATTAATGCCGCTACCATGTCGTCACAAATTAACGTTCCTGGGATTTTGTCATAAACTAATTCGTAAGCAGTAAGACGTGCACCTTGATTATAGGGCCTGGTCTCAGTACAGTAAACGTGTTCTGTGAATATTGATTAATTATAACAAATTACTCTCACGAAGCATATGGTATAATTACAAACAATGACTTACCTAATTTCTTTTGTTTGTGAAGAGATCTAATGACACCTAATGCTGTACCATATCCAGCAGTAGCAAGGCTCCCCGTGTTACAATGAGTTACTATCCTAACTAGACCATCTCCAGCACTGTTTTTCAAAATTTCTTGAGCGCCATAATCACCGATTGCTTGGTTATCGGCAATATCCTTTTCTAGCATATCATCTATTGCCTTTAAAAACCTGTAACAATGTTCACAAGCAAGCTCAGTGAGTGAATTACGAATCTATCATAACTGCTTTCTATTATCAACAGAAAAGTCTACTTATATTTTATAATAATTGTAGTTTTATGTCTTACTTCGTTTTCATGTCAGCAGCTGGAATATCTTCATCGTTGCTAAGTTTATTGGCTAGGGTAATCAGTTCCTCTGCTGCTATTTTAATATTCACAGCTGTCGGTCGTGCTGAGACCAAATAGTTCAGCTTGCCCTCCACTTCTTGACGAAGACTTTTCTTGTCAGCAAACTCCTCATTTTGGATTTCCACTGCCAAACTAAGACAACCAACAATGGCAATCGCTGGCGCACCACGCACCTGAAATATATGCAATCAAAGATTATTCAACTCCATCTACAAAAATTAAATATATAAAATAGTATAAAGATAATATGTCATAACATTCAAGACACATTGATATATTATATTTGATAGAATAAGGAAACTGCAGATACAGAATCTTATTGCGAATGGACACATGACTCATCTAAATATCGAGTAAACAATAATTATCTGAATATGTTAAAAGAAAAATATGTGTTATAAACTGTATCAAAGTACTATAAATAATATTTGTGCAACTGTAGCAAATCATATAGCATAAATGTATTCAGCGATACTATTAACAGCTGCCTTAAGTGAATGATTTAAACTATCCAACTCTTTCAATTAAAATGAAGTCAGATCTAGGTTAAAAACAGCCATAAAGTGGCACAACTCTAAATCCCAATTTCAGTCTATTATTAGATAAGAAAATCGTTCATAGTAACATTACTAATATCCAATTTAGAATATTTCAAGATACGTAAACCAAATTAAAACATTTAACTATCGTTAACTGAAGAATCAGTATAAGTCCAAGAGGACAAGAAAGATAAAGCTGTCTCCAAGACACTCCAGAAAAATAATCAATTACGAATCCGCCTAGTATCTCAAAAAAATGACATTCCTATCAGCTTATCAGCGAGTCCCAAATTATCAAACCATCAATACATTATTATGAAACACACTTTACTTTCGTATAACCCCACGTGTCCTGATGCAAAAGCCGGCCGCATTTGACAAGCAATAACCTAACTTACGTAACAAGCAATCCGGCAGATATAGAAGTTGACAGCAATCATGGGAGGCTGTAAGTGCGTACCTGCATCTTGTTAATGACTTTCCAACCATCCTCGACACCCTTAACGACCACGTACTTGGAGATAGTTGGCAAAAGTATTTGATCGAGGATTTCGAGCTTGCCGTTTTCCCACTTGATAGCCTGCAGAGTCATCTCGTATGGAAATGGCAACAGGAGCGTGGCGATCGTAGCGAGATGCTGGGACGACTGGAGCCTCTTAAACTGTGTTATTTGCCAGCGCGAAATCCCCAGTAGTTGTGGAGCTACGTTAAAGCTTATATCTAGTGTGATTTTTGAATGGGACAAATAAGAATATGACAGTCGTGGTTCACGTGCACTGATAACACCACGAGCAGCTCCACCGGCTGTAGATAAAAAAGCACCACGTGATAGGTTTAAGACGAATTTACAGGCAGCAGAATTCACCGCGAATTCTATTCCCAATAGAGAAGTAAATACTCTTACGAACTGCCATTGAACATAATGGGTAACGTTTAACCGATATAAAAATTATCGTTGTACTCAATACGTATATTTACTATACGATGAGTAACAGCTAAGACCAAATTTATCCAACTACTATATTATTTATAAAAAGTATGTTAGTTGAACTATGTTTAGCTTCTTATATTAGAGTGATACTTGACGAAAGGGAAGTAAATGAAAGAGCAATTTCTACGTCAACACCGTACAGTATTTGAAATAGGACAAATTAATGATACGAAAAGTATAAAATAACGTAAATCATTGATCTTGTTATAATCTTGTGAGATGGAAGATTGAGTCATTGATAATTTTGAAAAAATTAACACAAGGTTGTTAATATATTACAGTTATAACAGAAATAAAAAGTTAACGAGTTCGGGGTGCCGCAAATTCACTTACAACAGACGTTACACAAATTCATATTCACTTTAATTAAATATATCTATATACATTATAGGTACATCATCGTACATTCATCGTAGTAACTGTACAACAGCAGGACTTGCAATACTGTTCACAAAAATACATCATATAAAGGAGTAATTGTTACGTGTAGAGATGCGCAAGGCCGATTCGCCACTTGAAAAGAATTACTCGATTTGTTACGGTAGGTCGGAAAGCACAACGATTCCGTAGACAGATATAGAATTGGGGTATTTTCATTGTTTTTCTGGTTTTCACGTTTTCATTTGTTCTTTCATGTAAAATAGCGACAGTTGAACGATGCGCGATACCACGTCATTGCCTGTGGGAAGAAATGGCAAGGCCTGAAAATGGCTGAAAAACATTCTGACTCTGATTGTGGTTAAACGAATATCTGGCAGCAACATGATCCTAGTCAACAAAATATAGCCTGATACAATAATACTTCCAGTACAATGTCGGTTGAGTGAAGATCCAAGCGGACTCCATTTAAGTACCATCAAAAAGACATAAGATTGACATTTCGATATTGATATTAATAATTACATCGATTGTGTAATAACTTTTATTAGACCCTTAACCGTTACCAGAAGAACACACAGAACAGTCTCAATGTATAAATAAGAATTTATCACATTTTTGAAAAATCCAACTGCGAGTCCACAATCGCGCGCCTTGCTATTTATAATAATCGTGCGAAATTATCTAATTAAGATTGAATTTCGTAAAGCTATCCGAATATTCAAATAGGCGAACAAAATATGTTCGTCTGGTTTGTATATGCAATTCTGATGGCATCAGTTAAGGGCGAAGCCGGCACTTCCGTCCTCATCGAGTTAAGATCGGGAAGAATGACGTAGGTTCATTGGGGTACGACACACATTTAGCTTTTTCTTTTTTTTTCTTTTTTTTTTTTACAAGGCGATGAGAATATCGCATATGTGGATATACTCGATCAGGACGGCGATACGAGCTCTCGCGGACAATGATGATTTAAATTTGCTGATACGAATATAGACCATTGAGTTTACGAGACAAAAAGAGTTTATAGTGTTAGATTTAGAGTAGACTTCGAAGCCCTCATATAAATACTGTTTTTTCTTGCAAGGGATGGATCAACCCTCGTCCCCGTGATCCGAGCTTCCTGTCTGGTCACACAGGGTATGCCTGTGAGTCAGGATTGTATGTACACCCTATGGCCTGGGATTACATGAAATTGTACACATATAAAATTTTCTTAATTTACATCTCTCACTGTCACAAGTTGCCTTGTGATTTCTTTAAATTAATTTATTATTTCTCTCAGTGGGTCCCCGGCAAAAAGTTCGGACGATAACGTTCTTAATTTAAATTGTCTTAGCGAGCCTTTTCGTTTACTCTTTCACGAACTAGACGATGAGTATTGGTCCATTGGGAAACATCGTTCGTTCCTTCCTCTTTTTTTTCTCCTTTCTAAAAAGAAATTTCGTCTCTAGCCACCCGAAAATATCTCCGAAAACGATTGTCGAATCCATCGAGATTATCGCGATTCCCAATGAAATCTTCGTGATCGATTGAGTAGCTCGTCTCTTCTTTTTTTTATATATATATAATCTCGACGGAGCAGACGAGTGTCCCGTTGCTGTATTTACAATATACATATAACATTAATCGTAATTATCATTAACAGAATTCAGACCCAACTCTATATACACAGTACATATATAAATGATCACTCGAAAGCGATACGCGAATATAAATGTAAACTCCTCGGGGGCGAACGCATGCGCGCTCTGTCAGCCCATGTCAAAATTCACGATTGATTAGTACCTTTAACTTCGGTGTTCGAGAAATCACAGCGCGCGTTTCCCTGGGCGATTCGTCGTCAGACGCACCGGAGGAAGCCTTTCACCCGGAAGATTCACTACCGATTGATCCCAAGTGTCCAGTGGATCTCGAGAAGACACGGTACGCACTGGATATTCGATAAAAGGATCGCGAAGGAAATAAAAGAGAAAAAAACAGTTAGCAGACGGAGCCAGTAACACGTGCCAGAACCGATTCGCGAGTATTAGCGATTCTCTGGCGTCAGAAAGGAAGATCTACCATGGTGATCGGCTCTGGATCCCCCAGTCGATCTTCCCTCCCCTCTGAATCCTCGATGACAGTCAATCACTCGAGGATGATCATCGCAGGAAGAGTCCCGCGATCCCAGGCCTCTTCCCAGTGGATAATCGCGATCCGGCCAGGCTCGTGCTCTTCTCTACAAGGGCGTCGGGAAGACTCGTCTCTTGGTGAAGAGGTGCTCCCTGTGCTTGGTACGTATGTGCGATCGCAGGGTGTCGATCCTGCTGTAAGTGGCTGGACAATATGGGCACAGCGAACGCTGAGCCGTGTGTATGTGGAAGTGGTGCCAACGATTCGACACTTGTTTCCCGCAAGCGCGACATCTCCAAAGCGCTGGACTACCCAGGGACACGTCGAACATCTCGTGGTAAGAGAGCCCGAGAGGAACGCTCGGCATTGAACCTGCAAACCCAAATGCTTCATACTCTCTGTACACTGAGGCCATCTGACCCCACCAAATCTCGAGACTCCATTCCGGAAACGGAGGAGTCGCTTATCACGATCAAGATTATCATTCGCATTTAACATTCACTCTCATTTTCTCAGATAGGCACAGTCATTCTTATGTTTACGCACACCCGCTGGACTCTGCGAGCTCATCAGGATCCTGATACTCTCGTTAATCGGACACACCTGGACAGTCATTCGTTAAGGAGCTGGACACAGTCGTATTGACGTCATTGCGATTCGACTTTTTCTCTTATAGGTGACGTCTGTTGTCATTCTTTTTTTTTTTACTTAACTTCAGTGTCTTTTTTCGATTGCCTAATGGTTTTGAGTTTTTTTGGATATTCAAACTGTTGTGTATTTGGAATGTGTCGAGTGGTCAAGGTATTATCGTCGTGAGATATCTACGTAATCGTTGGTATCATCGGTATCGAATACGAGAACTACTCTCAGGTTTACCCTGTAGCAACTTTATCTGCAAGCAACGCGATATCGACAGAAGATTAAAAAGAATTATTTTAACTTACTATTAGATTAGCGCATACTTAATTATCTATTTGACACCGTCTTAACGATGTAAGATCTCGCTTCCGAAGTTCTAATCTCTTCCTTGCTCTTCCGTCGGTTTTCTTTCCCAATTACTTGCTCCGGCGTATCTTGGATCTTCCGAATCTGTAATTGTGAAGGTTCGTGTCCATGAAGGTTCGCGCTTAAGAATCGCGACGACAGGAACATCAACACGTGCTTATAGCAATTGTCAATATGTTTTATTCGTATTTTACATCTCCTTACGTATTACACATCATTAGAGCCTCTAAGTACCTTAGAAAGTATAGCTTAATTATTTATAGTATCTAGACTGTACCGCCTAAGTTTTCACATATAAAACTCTTGGAATGGACAGACTCTAAATTAAACGTTATTAAAAAAAAAAAAAAAAAAAAAAAAAAGAAACAGAAAAAGAAAAATGAAAATTGACAACATTATCAAAACCTTATGCCCTAAATGGGTATTGCTTTATAACATTTCCAAAGATTTGGCATCATTTTCCAAAACAGCCGTCAGCCTAATCCGCGTGTAAACTAGATTAATATTTGTATCCAAGGAACGATTCGACACCGTGAATATCCAAAATTCAATTTACATCAGTATACAGAAACGCATTGGTATCGCACCGATTCTCAAGGTATTTTAATTATAACTAAATAATTTTTTTTTTTTCATTAAAATCCCTCTTTGGCATGTCCATAGGAGAAAACGTATTAATCTATTGTCGAGTTATCAATTACGATTAGACTCGATCTGAAACGTACATTTTCCTATATTATATACAATAGTGATTTGGATCGAAGATTTCACGAGTCGGCTCCGGTTGGCCGTAGTACAGTGCACGTGTTTCATTTTAATAAACCGCGATATTAGGCAACGCTGATACCAATATTGACAAAAGCGATCATAACCCCTGATACAATTCTTTGCTTTTCGACTGTCCAAATAGCTTAGCCGCGTTACTGCCGCTACGAAGAACGGGACGGCCACTTTGTACGATTCTCTCGTCGTATTGTATGTAAACGTACAATCGTCCATTCCCCACGTACCTGGACACATTCAGACGTCCGATCAGATCGAAGACATAAACTTTGGCAAAGTCCGCAAGGAAGACGCGACGTTGAGAAACGCAATGACAAAGTACAGCCAAAGTCCTAATACTTCAAGACGAAGCATTGAGAACACGAACCGGAAGTGAAAAACTTAACCGATTGTAAATTTTCATTGCCGATTTACATACATCTGTCAGAGACAATCGGACGGCGAACGGAACCGAATCGCAGGAATCGTACTTAAAAAATCTCATACCGGAAACACAGGGTACCCGATATAAGCATCCTAAAATTGTGACCCTCCCATATATATATATAAGACTGACTGTTATTTACAATCTTCGAAT